ATTTCATGGAAACCAGCCTTTATAATATTTAACATTCATGACAGGGTCTGCAAGACCATTCACTATAAGCCCCATCTTAGTTTTGATGGTTGTAGACAAAAACATTTTATGTAGGTATTTAGGTATTTAAAACTGGGAAGCTAAGCACACGATTGGTTATTTGTTTAAAGTTATTGTGATTGGTCTAAAACCATCCTCTACTGTCCAAGTAGGGCATGTGCCTTTATGGACATTTTACCATTTACCAACAGCTTTTCTCTTCTGAAAGATGGTGTGCATTAGTAACTTGCATTTCAGCAACTAGGTACCTGGAATTTAACTAGGTACCCAAAAATTCTCATGGTTCAGCGCACACACAGTGACTACCACCAGTTCAGTTTACCGAGTCATTCTTCTTTAGAAATGGACAACATTTTAAAAAGCGATATTTGTTGAAGAACTTACCGTGGCATTCCTAATAGCTGTGAGGATATCAATGGTCTTGAGACCACCGAGTGGATCAATGCCGCTTAACGTTCGACCAAATGTCTCATGGAAAATATAACATATACGAGCACCACCGCATCTGAGAAAGTATGTGAATGAATACAAAATATGTAAATTGAGGCATTATGTTTTCTCATTCCAGTTACCATACATATATACTTAAAATAAAAAAAAATATTAGGTCTAATAATAATAAAAATTAAACACCTTTAATGTCAAAAGGATCAAAGGCATAAAACTTTTACAGGCTCTATGCAACTTAAACAGATTGGCGAGCAAATATTATTAAAGTTAGGCTTCGGATAAAAACAAACCTTTGATATGTTATACAACTGATTTTTTAAGACACAAAAACAGTTTTTTTGAAGGAAAATCCAGGGAACGGTTAATGACATACAGATTTTTGAATATTTCAAAATTGGTGGTGGAGGGTAAAGGTGGAAAAAAAGGGTGGTTACATCTCCTTTTAACCCCCGTATTTAAATATTCAAAAAACTGAATCTCATTAACTGTTAACAAGTTTTTCATCAAACACCATTTTTTGTCTTAGAAAATCAGTTACAACATATCAAATTGTTTTCCACTGCAGCCTGATTTTAAATATAATACTTAAAGAGTAAAGAATAAAACTAGAATCATTAAAAAATTTAACACATGGCTATTGAACTTACAGTTCTGAAATTTCAATATTTTTAGATGTTCCCTCGATAGTTGCACAATACTCAGATGCAAATTTTGTAGTTATTTGCAGCAAGGTTTGACTCTCATCTTCAACAGGTTCACCAAATGATTGTAGCAACTGCTGGAATTGAGAGGCTAAGACGTTGACCCTTGTCTTGAGGTCAGGTAAACAGTCCCTAATGTGATGCATGAGAAGCTGCAGAGGAAATAAAAGAAATTATTTATTCATAAGGTAAACATGAATTATTTATTAGTCAACATTAAAAGAAAGAAGACGTATTAATTTGAAATAAAAGATCTGATTATCTTATAGTAAGAATGCTAGCTTTAAAGTATCCTATATGATTATTTTCATTGCATCAGAACACAGCTAACAAATATAGAATATTATTTAAACTTCAGGAAAAAAATCTGAAAAAGAAATAAATGTTTAAATTAAAGGCCACAACACCCAAAATAATTCAAAATTAGAGCTGCATTCAAATCAGATCTAAAACAAAATTCAGACGGTTTTTCCGATGAGCTGAGCACTAGCATCCCTATTCTTATATACTGATTCAGTGTGATTGAGGCTTAATGCTGCCACCTATATAATATACAGCACTATATAATAGTGTTAATGTTTCAACACTTACCCTATTCAAAGTCTTGGCAAGAAACGCTGTGCCGTTCCTATTGGCTAATGCTGGGTATTTCCTCTGTAAGAATGCAGACTCGTCTCTACTTGCATCGTCTATGCTCTGCAAAGAAAATATTAATTGTATATACATAAATATTCATAATATATACTACATAATGTAAGTTATTGTTGTCTAAATTGTAGTTACTTTTTTTGGATGAGCTAATGTTATGTTAAGCCTTTCGCAGAACTTATTACAAATACAATGAATTCATCTGTTACAATGCACCATATTCATTTACATTACTGGATAAGGGAGTAATTACAGGTACATACAAATGTACAATACCAAGAAACTCAGGTTTTAAAATTGTAAAGAAAACTTTATAAAGAAGACAAAAGAAAGAGCTTGAAAAAAATTAGTTTTCAATGATATACAAGGTTTTATATTTAAAAAGGGTAAACTAAATGATACTTATTTGTTTATTTATTGGTGAAAAAATATTTTCTGGTTCAAATTTCCAGTTGAAAACAAATAAATGACTTTAAAATATATAGGACAAAGAAATTTAATATGAAATTTTATTGTATATTAGCTCAACAGAGTATATTTTTAAAACCTCATTGTCAATTACCTTTTTGTTGTTTATGTCCATCTGACTTCTATTAACAATACCAATAATTCCGAGCTTAACTGGTATAACTGCAATAAAGCAAATGTATTGGTTCAAACTACAATAATAATAATGTTGTGGTTAATTAAATACAGTACTTTATTTACACAAAAATGACATAGACATACTTTAACTATCTCTCATTTAGCACTGAGAAAATTGCAGACCAAAACCCAGTACCCTTACAATTTCGTGCATTCTCAAAATACTCAAGAACCATGTAATATCCATTTAAGTTTAGGAATTTCCTATTCTAGGCCTGCACCATTTAATATATTAAATACTAACATCAACTCACCTACAATATCTAATTAGGCTTAATACTCAGCAAAAATAAAAATTAACATATTCTTTCAAATTCTAAAAGCAGGGTTAGATCCTAGCTAAGCATATGCTAAACATGTTTTTTAATAAGGTCAACTTTTTTTTTTTTTTTCTGGAGGCTCTAGCCTAGGCAAAGAGTAAGCAGATCTACTATTTACTATCTATCTATTTACTGTATGAGGTTGGTAATAAAGCAAACAGCATTTTTGTTAATGCTTCCTCATAACTCTGATTAGATATACTTCCCTATAAGTTACATTACCGACACTCTGTCTTCACACAAGTAGAACTGACAAAATCATTATATTCATCATAATGGTTCTGATAGGGTTACATCTAATTAAATTTGAATTGAAAATACTGAGTAAAGACTCAGTTTTTTAGCCTCTCTAAAGCCTGTACATATTATATTTTTAAATTTTACAAGGCTCCCTTTTGAAATCTTTGAAACTTCATCAAGATTGCTACATGAATGTGCATTTACCAGCCGCAATCCTTGTTAAATATTAGCGCAAAATGCGTAAAATAGGTACACTGTTAAATGTATCTTGCCGACCATATATTTCAAGGGTGTTTTTTTCCCATCATTTTGGAAAGTGCATAGAGACGAATGTTAAATGCTATTCAAGTACACAGTGACTGACTATTGACAATCATCAAGTAAAAGAATCATTGCTAATATGTTCCACAATAGAAATTTTAATAAAAACTAGAACTTAACAAATGTGTCCACAAACCTCTGCCACAGAGAACATCAACTGCATCTGTCCCAGCGTCCATCAAATCCAATTTGGTAATTACTGCTAATGTCCGACGACCTAAAAATAAATTGTACATTTTCATCAACAAAGAGCATCAATTTTGAGATGTGGTTATTGCCTATTGTGCCTGGTTCCAAATATAAGCATTGTGGTTCAATGGACATTTCCGCTAAGCCCCACCCATTAGATTTAATTGCTAAGATTGCACAAAACAATTGCGTTTGTGTTAATAGGACATGTGCCAAATCCTGGACCCTGTTCTGATTAAGTTTGACTGACATTCTGAAAAGGTCCATTCTAGTCAGGGGGTGCTCACAACTAAACTTCAGTGGAAAATGTATGTTTGTGGCCATTGATTGAAATCTTGATGTAGCCAACATTTTCTATTACATCACAACATGTTTTATTATGTACAGTGCTATTGTTCATGCTGCACCCCCATGGCTTAAGGTGTCATCCAAAGGACGAGTATATCCATACAAATTAGACTCTAAAATCGATTAAATAAGCTTTTTGAACCCCTAATTTCTTTGTAATTTCGCCCCATGCACAACTTTTGAAAGACTTTGAGCGACACCCGACCACGCCCACTTTGCTCCTGTCGGTTCTATAGCTTACGCCCTAACCACTGCACAATTTTAAGTAGCATATTTAAATATGTCTACTTTTATTCATTACTAAGTGTTCTAATTGCATTTGAATATGAATTACATAAAAAAGGTCAAAATTCGTACCATCTGGGTCAACCTCTTTGGCCAGTTTAAGCGCTTCGGAAGTTGCGAGGTCGGTGTTGGCTGCTGTCACTGCTAAGATAATGGAGTTGGGATTGCTAATGTATTTCAAGATTATAGAGCGAACCTGTTGCTCAATGTCCTCTGGCTGGTCACCAACAGGTACCTGTGGAAGGCAAAGACAATGAAGGTATACAGTGATACTAATTGGAGAGGGGGTAGGAGTAAGATGGTAGCCCAATGTGAAGAGGGCTATGTGGGAATGACTGCTAAGAAACGAGTGTATAGTGGTTGGCAAGCAGTTGGGAATCAAACTCAAATGTAAGGTTGAGGTTTGTATAACACGCTGTGTGGCGGCTCTAAGATAACATGATAATGTGCACCACTGCAAATACTACTTCATATGTAGTAGAACTGTAGTCAAAATGCTTGCATAGAGACCCTTGTATTTTGCGCAGTATAAATGAATAACCTTTAAATCTTAGGGTTTATGGTTCAATCATTGATAGGACTCTGACAGAGGATTATGGAATCTAAAGGCAAGTATCTTAACCAGGAAATGTGGGGGAGGTAGCAAATCCAATTTTAGTGTATGGTTTTGGTTTACTTACCTTTGTGAGTCCAGGTAAATCTACGAGTGTGAGATTGAGTACCCTGGTGGAGTAGATCTTAAGGTTGATAGGCTCAGGTGAAATACCCTACAAGGTGACAAGAATTGTAATAGTTATTTAGAACTTTATATCATAATAATATACTCACTTGAACCATAAAGGTACCATCCATTGGATTCTTATGTTTTATTTAACTCATTGAATGTCATTTTTTTAATATTACATAAATATTTATTCCAATTCCATAGTTCAAAACAAAAACGTGTATATCTGTATAATAATGTAATTTATAACAAGGCTGTATTCCCTTTGGATGAATTTTAACCAAATAATAAAGGGTAAAAGTCTAAATAAGCTTCAGGTAAATTGTACCATGCTTGTACAAGGATTTACACATTCACTAGGTTTTACTTAGATTGTGGTTAAATAGTATATGTGGCAATGAACATATGGCTGTTAAAATGAAATACACCTAATACATCTAACAGAAAAAAACTGGTAAGCGAGAAAAAAAAAATGTAGATGCAAAATTGAATGAACTTTTAGATAAAATCAACGTTGACCTTTTTCGTTTACACAATACTCAAGGAAAAAATAAACTAAATAGTCTTCCTGGAAATAGTTCACTGCGTTAAGAACTTGACACTTGGTTTAAGAACTTGGTTTACTTGGTTTAGTAAATTTTACCAGAGGGAAAGTTTTGGCAGGCAGATTAAACTGGACTTCTTTTGGTAAAATGACCAGGCAAAACGAAAAAAAAAACAAAACAAAACAAGACCAGACCAAACAGAGTTCTGTGTTTTATGATTCTATGCGCTTTGATTGGTATGATACAGAGAGTGAGAAGTGCGTGGTCCTCCTCCGTAGAGATTTACGTTAACCACAGTCAACAGCATTGCTGAAGAGAAGTATGTATAAGCAATATGCAGCCGCATTCACCCAAAAATACTAGTATGTGTAGCTAAGGGCTTATTAGCATGTAAGTGAAGTTACCTTATTTGTTCCAGTCATCCTGTCTGTCTCATTTTCCAACTCGTTCTTGATTTCTTCGAAGTCAGTGTAAATTTTGTTCTTTGTGTGCAAGAATTTACCCCATTCTTCAGCTTCCAGCTCATCTGTAAATAACATCAATAAAGATACAAATGGAATTGCCCATCCCATTTAAAACGAATCATTTCGGGATGTGACTTCTCTCTTTTTTTTGCAGCTATGATCTCCATGGCCGTACCTGAATGCAATTCAGAGCATTGATGATGAGATTTTTAATTCCCTACTTTTACCATTACCTTTTTAAATATATATATTATCTATATAGCACCCTTCAAAGTGCTTTTGTGACAAGTCATTTAGGTCCACATGCTTTAGTGTTGCTGCACTGTAATCAGTGCATGAACAAGCAATGCTACCAGGTTCCCAGTTATAATCCTGAGTGGAGAGAAGCAATGCAGAGAAAGTGCCTTACTTGAGGACACAAGTGAAATTCACAGTGAGGGATTGAAACCCTGACCTGGAGGTTGGGAAACCGAACGTTCCTGCTGAATTGTTTACATATACCACAGACCCTATATTCAATTAAATATTTTCACTCAGCTTCATCTTTGCTTCATGTTTTGTTTTTCATTATGGATATTCTTCTAAAATGCTGCAGTGTATTAAGATAGCAAGAGTGAAATTTATGGTTAGGGTCAAGCCAGCTCTACCATTCAACACCACAGATTTATTTAAGGTTATGGGACAAATATCCACAGCCATCTTTTTATAGGCATGTCCAGACTACCATATTTTATTTTAGAAAAAAACATGTGATATGCCTAAATATGGTCATGATGACATTACATCATGACTATATAAGGGCATAGAGGTTTTTTTTGGTCAAAGACAGAGCTTAATACTAACCTTCGCCTTCACCTAAAACTGCTTTCCTATCCTCAGGATCAATATGAACCAGCTGTAAAACAGTTGGTCGCCGGGTAACAATACCATTTCCTATAGATAAAAATAGTCAATGTACATTTAGCCTCATCAATAAGCAATTAGTATAGTTGAGAATCAAACACTAGTGGAAATTATTATATGAATGCTAGATTAATGCCTGAAAAAATAAAAGCACACCATTTACTAATGAAAGATTAGTGCATGGTTTGGAATAAGAAAAAAACATTGAGAGTTACAGTGAAGACCTCACAACTGACTGATATTTATTACTGTATGTTTACACAGAATTTTCATTATGAATACTGATGGCACAATTCAACACCAATCTCATGGATGGGTAAATTAGATGCCTGTGTAAAAAGCTGTAATATAGAATTACGTTTTCTACATGGTGCATCCCCCTTCCCCTCGATATGTGACTGTTGCCACTTGCCTTTTATTACTGGGTACGTTCCTCCAGTCTTACATTAGATATATCTATATAATATTTATCATATTTACCTCTTGGTAGAAAATCACGACCAACAAGGCTTTCTAATACAGAACTTTTTCCACTACTCTGTGAATTAAAATAAACAAATTTAGCACATTAGTTAAAGAAAAGATAAAAAAAAAAAAAAAAAAAAAATAGAAATCAAAGATTAGTTTTAATTAAATAATTAAGAATTTTTCATATATACTTTGTATAAATAGCAGAAATTTTACAACTTAGTGATTTGTCATAGAATGCAGTATTATATATCGAATTGATGGCAATACTTGTTATTATTGTAATGAAAGTTTATGTTCTCAACAAAAGCTGGTTAGTAGTTAGTGCAAGTTATTTGTACAGTATAGTAAAAAATGCTTCATACACCAAACCATGGGGCCCACCGATAAGAATGATGTAGGGTAGTATGAAACAAACTCTTAAGCTGGTTTCCCACTAGGCGAATTTATTCGCGCTAATTAAAGCGTCGGTTCGCTTCCTGAGCTCTGATTGGTTGCGCATTTTTTCGCTTCACAAAAACTCAGATAGGAATGTGAATGTTCTTGAACCGACGCTGTCTATTCATGTGAATAAATTCACTAGGTGAAAAACGGCTTTAAAGACTATGTTGCATAATATACAGGAAACCAGGGGAGTGAGAAATTTAATAGTTTGGCCAAACCACCTTCTTAAGTACTCTTCTCCTGGACTGTACCAGGGCACATACTGTAGGCACAAGAGGGCCAGCTTTGGCCCTCACAGACAATCACCAATTAAGAAATCCTGGCTAGTGGCTTGGACAAATATGATTTTGTTTTTCAAAATGTATATACAAGTAATTCCTGAAGACCAACAACAAAGAACTCCTAACACATGTAGTCCTACAGCCAGGGAGGTTGGAGGACGCTTGTGATTTTTTTTTTCGATTTAACAGAGGCCGCACACAAAACTTCATGCACTGCTTTCTATACTAGCTTATTGTAACGTAATTGCTTGAATAAGCACCATGGCGCTTTAAGATTTAAGAAGGCTTCAGTGCAGCGCTTATTTGAGCACTTACAGTATGACAAAGAAGGTCGGCGGCCGCACGCTTGTGATTTTTTATTTTTTTATTTAACAGAGGTCGCACTCAAACTTCATGCACTGCTTTTATAATTGCTTGAAGAATAACCACCAAAGCGCTTTTAAAATTTAAGAAGGCTTCAGTGCAGTGCTTATTTGAGCACTTATAGTATGGCAAAGATGGTCGGCAGCCGCACACATAGTCTTTAATCAATTTTTTTCCCAAATCACTGTTGGGCTCTATGTGGTCTATGTGTGCACTTCGTACACATGTGGATTACAGTATTTGATTGAAGATAATGTTATTAGAAATGAATTTAGTTTCAACAATTTGGATAAAATAAAGATCATGTAGAGATTTATTAACAAAAAGTGACAAGGCCTACTGCACTGTATAAACAAAAGTAAAAATATGTGTTAATGGATACAGCCATTCGGGATGACATCACAACCACATCCGATTGACAATATAAGGATATCACATACACAGGATATGATGTTCTGATTGGGTGTATGACGACAAATCATATCCAATTCCAAGATAAAAATTTTACTGTTCCCTGGTAGGCCTAGTGGTAACTTAATTAATATTCTATATATAGGCCTAGGTTTAAAAAATCAAAAAAGAGGTTCAAAAATGTAGTTTTAATTAATGATAAAATTTAAACTAATTAATCTCATTCTGTGTAGAAAATAATGAAAAGAATATATATACAACTAAAGGCTACCTAGGCCTAGTCCTTCCCCAGCTAGCCAGGCCAAAAAGTGCCAGAAGAAAAACATACAAAACTTTGTTATTACAGATACTTATTGTAGGATAATAACGTGTTAATACACTCCATCCATTACTAAAGTTAAAACATGTAACAAAGTTAGTTAGAAAGGTTTCTTAATATATTTCAAGCCCTGTCCAAGGATGGTGATCACTTCCTTCCTATAAAAGTAAAGGCCAAAAAGTGAACCGTTTTGCCTGTCAAAATTATCTGATATCACACAATCTATTATAATATAGCTAGGCTTAGCCTAGTTTAATGAATTTTACCTGCGTCCCGATAACAACAATTTGCGGCAACTGAATCGTATCTGAGCCGACTGTATTGAACACATCTTGAAGTTTATTTATCACAGGTATTAACGCTTCCATATTAATTAGGAAACGAAGCAAGAAGGAGTAAACTTATCAGACAACGAATTGTACCGGGAAGAATGGGAAAGCCCTTTTTTCAATGATCTTGACCTTTCAACCACACTAAACCAGCCGTTGATCCATACGCTACGTAGTGCATATTCAATGAAGCGTGCAGTAATAGTTTTGGTGGAAGAAGGCACGACGAGGGGAAGTGAATAAAGTAAATTCTCCCCTTGGAAACGCAAAATAATTATTTTAAACTAAAGATAGTGTAATTAAAAACAGTTGCTACGGAGAGGATCATTTCTTCAATTAACACATGAGATGCTGAGTTGAACTAAAATTTGTGAGAGGTATTTATTTGAAGCACTGTCGTCGGGCAAGTTTGTGGTCCTGTTTGTTTCTGTTTTGTTGATACAGTGTCCTGAGTTTGTGTACCCAGGCGGGTGTGTATACTGGTGGTAGTTGCCGGTATTTTTTCCCTTGGTTAATGACACCCTTCAATGTATGTTCAATGATGAATAGGTTTGTATTTCAACCAAATTAACTTTCTTTATGTCTATATTTTAGGTAGGCCTAAATATATAAAAAGTGTTGCATGAACCTCTAGTGTATGAAATTTGCAGAACTTGGACCAAATAAAAAAAAATTGGTCTATACTTATTTTGATAAGCATTTCCTGTACAATATTCATTTTTGTTAAAATTTAAAAAAATTCCCACCTCTAATTTATATAATTTTGCTTGAAAATTTAGGTGTGGGTGGTGATGTTAAACAAGTATATTGTTGTATATGGCCATACTAATACTGTTTATATATGGACTTAGTATGATATCTGCAGAAGTTTGTCTTATGATGTTTCAATATTAAATAATTTCTAAATATTAGTTAGAAATTTGTTTTAATAGTTTAAATTAAAGTTATTTGAAACTTTGTATTTGGGTGCATCCTTATTTTTCGGTTTGTAATTACAATTAAAATTTGAAAGCAAAATGTTTTTTTTATTCTGTCTTTAATTCAGTCATTTAAAATAAATAGTTCTTGAAGACATCTTATAATAACATACAGCAGAAACAAAAGAATTATTTCCCCTTTTCAGCTATTTTAACTCTTGGAAAAAACTAATATTGACTAAAGTAATAGTCATATATCAATTACTATTGTTCAATTTCTTATCTGAACACATCAGTAGCAGAAATTGAGAAAGGACCGTCAGTCATAAGGTAAAACCGGAAATTTTAATTCCAAAATTAAATTGCTTAATTTGTATATTTAAGTATTAGATTATTAAATTAAAATAAAAATAGAACTTCCTGTTGTCTTTCTGTCTAAATTAAATAACTTTTCTGTAATATTCTGTTGTATTGATCATAGTACTGAATTTAAGGATTTTTGATTTAATGACTATAAATCAGTGAAAAAATGTTTTAATCTGTGTCTAATTGGAAGCTAATAGTTAATTTATCCTTTCAAATGAGTTATTCAAAGTTTTATTTGAATTTTTTAGGTAGTTTTCTGTCTTTTTGAGTGATAGTACATCTTTAAAGATTCTATAGTGACTTCCACAATACACAGTTTGAATGTAAATAAACTAGGAAATAACCCAAAATAAAACTACAAAAATATACAGCAGATAAATTAACCTTGACACTATCTGTTTTGCCACCTTTATTTTAATAATAGTTCATTCTTATATAATGCAAGTAAACAAGCTGTAGTGCAAGGAAGCAGGCTATCAAAGTCTAAAAAAAGTTGTGGGTGTCTAACAACAATGGAACATCTATATAATAGCACATCATTTTTTAAATATAGTTCTACAGAAATTATCCTACTAATTCAACTGATAAAAGAATGACATTTAATGACAAAAAACTAGTCTTGCAGACGTTGCAACCGCTGGAGCTCAAAATTCGGGAGACTTGACATGTCGTCCGGGTCAAGTGTGCTCCTACAGTACCCCAGGAATATTGAAAAATTGTTTGCATACATGCATTCTGATCTTGCTAAGGTGTCGGCAACATTTGGAAATGCTCAATTATTGGTACTAAAATTAAAGAGCCACTCAACTCTTTGGGTATTTTGAGGTTGTTTTTTGAAACTGATTTTGAAATTAAAAAGTAAAATCAAAACCATGAATAAAGGAAGTAAAAACAGAAACTTGGTTTGTAAACTATGAATCAAACCGGTTTTATTCCCAATAAAAAACATTTTTATTTTATCACACTATCTAGACTGGAAAAGTGATAAGGTAAGGAGGCTTTTTATTTTTAATTTTGCTAAAGCCAACACCCTTGGGTTGTTTGCTGGTGCATTGATATTCAAAGTAAAATACATGATCGAGGTAATACAAACACAATATCTACTATCTATTCACTAAAAAATAATTTCTTTAAATGCAAAAAAAAAAAGGAAAAAAAACCTTTCCCCCACCCTCTAGAGAATAAATAAAATAAATAAATAAATATTGGAAAAAAGTTTTTTACAATATTTATTTATTCTTTCTTTAGACTGCATGCACTTTCAGTACTTGAGTATGGTTTTCAAAGTGGAACAGTTACAAACAAACCATCAAAATAGAAAGAAGATAATACAAAAATAATGTCAAAAGAAATTTTAATGTAAAATTTATAAATTAATAGAATGTTGGAATGAAACTAAGGCAATAGACAATGAAGACATGCAGGTGATGGTGATAAACTAATACTTTTTTGTATTGGGCCTAGAATTAAGTTATAAAAATTAAGTCTTTGGTTCCAATAAATACAGTATTCTATTAGGATATGAGACTGTAAACATTTTAACTATACAAATCCGAGAATTAAGTAAGGCTTAATTGAGATAGCAATGCTTAACATCCAAAATACTTATTCAACAGTTTCCTGACCTTGACTCTCCCTAATTTAATAATAGTCTGCAAAAATGTTTTCAGTTGGAAAAAGGAAGTTTGTGTTTGTGTATCAAACTTTTAAGGATGGCTTCAACTATTTCTCCGTATGTACTTATTCTTTATTATCTATATTGAATACTTTTTAGTTTTGTGGCCGAATTGACTTGTGGCCGAGTTAACTTGTGGCTGAGTTAACTTGTGGCCAAGTTAACTTGTGGCTGAGTTGACTGTGGCCGAGTTGACTTGTGGCCGAGTTGGATCGAATTCGTGCAAGGAAGCAGGCTATCAAAGGTCTAAAAAAAATTGTGGGTGTCTAACAACAATGGAACATCTGTAAATAGCACATCATTTTTTAAATATATAGTTCTACAGAAATTATCCTACTAATTCAACTGATAAAAGAATGTAATTTAATGACAAAAAACTAGTCTTGCAGACGTTCCAACCACTGGAGCTAAAAATTTGGGAGACTTGACATGTCGTCCGGGTCAAGTGTGCTCCTACCGTACCCCAGGAATATTAAAAAATTTTTTTTTTCATACATGCATTCTGAGCATGCTAAGGTGTCGGAACATTTGGAAATACTCAATTATTGGTACTAAAATTAAAAAGCCACTCAAATCTTTGGGTATTTTGAGGTTGTTTTTTGAAACTGATTTTGAAATTAAAAAGTAAAATCAAAACCACGAATAAAGGAAGTAAAAACAGAAAGTTGGTTTGTAAACTATGAATCAAACCGGTTTTATTCCCAATAAAAAACATTTTTAGTTTATCACACTATCTAGACTGGAAAAGTGATAAGGGAGGGAGGGAGGCTTTTTATTTTCATTTTTTGTTTTGTTAAAGCCAAATCATCTTTAGTTGTTTGCTGGTGCATTGATATTCAAAGTAAAATACATGATCGAGGTAATAATACAAACAATATCTACTATCTATTTACTAAAAAATAATTTCTTTTAATGCAATAAAAAAAAAGAGAGAAAAAAAAAACCTTTCCTGCACCACCCAGAGAATAAATAAAATAAATAAATAAATATTGGAAAAAAGTTTTTTACAATATTTATTTATTTTATTTATTCTTTCTTTAGACTGCATGCCTTTCAGTACTTGAGTACTGTTTTTCAAAGTGGTACAGTTACAAACAAACCATCAAAATAGAAAGAAGATAATACAAAAATAATGTAAAAAGAAAATTCAATGTAAAACTTATAAATTAATAGAATGTTGGAATGAAACTAAGGCAATAGACAATGAAGACATGCAGGCGATGGTGATAAACTAATACTTTTTTGTATTGGGCCTATAATTAAGTTATAAAAATTAAGTCTTTGATTAAGTCTCTTGATTCCAATAAATACAGTAATCTATTAGGATATGAGACTGTAAACATTTGAACTATACAAATCCGAGAATTAAGTAAGGCTTAATTGAGATAGCAATGCTTAACATTCAAAATACTTATCCAACAGTTTCCTGACCTTGACTCTGCCTAATTTAATAATAGTCTGCAAAAATTTTTTCAGTTGGAAAAAGGAAGTTTGTGTTTGTGTATCAAACTTTTAAGGATGGCTTCAACTATTTCTCCGTATGTACTTATTCTTTATTATCTATATTGAATACTTTTTAGTTTAATTGATTGAAATAGTTGTAGCATGGAGGTATAATATACCTTCATGTTTGTAGGCTTTTATTGGTGTTTTGTGCGGTTTTATTAGAATGTTTATATTGAATTCCTGTTGTAGACATAGGATTGGGAAACCTAGTTCCGTATTCTTGTTTCCTGGCCTGACATGTTTTGTGTAATGTAACCTAGCCTACATAAATGAAATATAATTTAAATAAAAGGTTCTAATGCATTTTCAGGATTAGGAGCCATTCACAATTTTTTAAGAGGACTTAGCAGTTGGTGGGCTACTTGTTTTATTGTGAAAATGTTGAATCATAAGAATATAACTACTTTATTTTATAAGGAAACAAATTTATCACCAATGGTATTTTCCTAAAGGCTGTTTATGCAAGGACATACAAAGAATATGGAAACACTTACCAACATCAAATTAAAATACATATACTGTAGAAAGGGAGAAAAGTAAAATTTATAAAGAATAAACATGGTGTCATGATAAAAAGCTTTGATAGTTATTATTAATAACCCATGCTTAGTTTAAGGAGTAGGATTAGTTAAGTATCATTATATTTGTATTCTTATTTATGTTAAGTGCATAGAGGTCTCTATGATATGCGCTCTATAAGTCGACCATTATTATTATTAAGCCAAAATACATGGTTGAAAAATCACAGAAACAGTTGGAACTTCCATTTTGGCCAGTAAATGAGCTAAAAACCATAGTTTTGTTTAAATAAAAATTAAAAATTCCCTTTTCAAACATATTATAAACTTTGCAAATAAAAATTAATGGTCAGGTCCAACATACAAATTATTTACTTTATGATATTTATTATTCTATTGTCTGTAGCATTGACAATGTAGTACTGTAACACATAAACAATGTAGTAACACCGATGTTTGCAAAAATAATAATAAAGTAATTAACTATGCCTCATTTCATCCTTTATTATACGTTGCTATGGATTTCCATACACATGCATATTATTGATTTGTACGTGAGATGATTGTATATACCAGTATATATTATCTGTTCAATTGTATGGTGAAGTTGAACTATAGTAAGGTCGGAAAAATTTTCATTCTTATTTTTTATCAATATATTGTGACTCAAGCTAGGGCCGTTTATATTTCTGTTACTATTATTGATGTCGTCATTTCCATATTCTAATGAATTGAGGAAGGAAAGGCATTAGGTCGTCCTTGATTTTGGCCAAGTTCTGAGGGAAATTGTGCATTGTGTTTGCTAAGGAATGGAAACACAAATGAATTTGTTAAACAGTAACCAGAACTTTTAAGGTTAAATATGAATGTTTACCGGTAACTGGAATACTGCTTTCAAATTAGCAGCACACATTCAGGTGTGTAGTGCATCCTCACTTACAGAAGAGACAACCAAACATTCAATAATAATAATAATAAGGCCAAAAAAAAAAAATTTGTTTGCCCTACTCCACCTGCCTGGGCCCTCTCACTTAAAAAAATAGGGATGGACAAAACAAACAAATTAAATTTTTTTTTTTTAGCATTTTTGCTGACAAATTTTTAAAAATGTGAGTGAATTTATCTTTATTTTTTGCCAGATGCCCTACAAATTAGTATAGAGTTGTTGTCTGATGTTGCCATTCTAGGCCTCTGTGGTTATTTTTATTCCATCAAAAAAAAATGATAATTCCTAAATGAATAAGTTTAAAAAATAGAAGCATGCTAGCCTGTACATATTATTCTGACTTTCTTTCAATCTGTCCTTTGAAAAAACAGATGTATAGTTTTTTGAGAAAAAACATGGTGTCCTCTTTCATATTTGCACCCAAGATTCTTCAATTATAGTTTCGTTCAGTCCCCAACGAGTCACGATCTCACTGTGGTGCCAATTATGCTGACTTTCTCTTTGTAGTACACATTTTTTCTCAGTGATATCAGAATTTTATTAAGAATAATTTTATTATTTCTGTTGATTTTTTGTTTCTGTGGTTTGTACTGGAGAGATCCCAGACAGGTGGGCATTGCCCTCTTTTGAGCAACCCTACAAGGTACTGCCAAGTCATTTTGTATATTATGTTATTGTTATTGTTATTGTTATTGTTATTATTATTATTATTATTATTATTATTATTATTATTATTATTATTATTATTATTATTATTATTGTATTTTAATGTTCTTTTTAGTAAATTTGAAATGGTGAAATAAATGATATATGATATGTAAAGTAATTTTAATAATTTCCTATTTTGTTTTTGTTGCTATGTTCAATTTATTCATCCAATCATTCATCTATCTAGCCCTCCATCCATCCATCTATTCATCCATTCATCAATTTGCTAAATAAATATTTATTCGTTTGTTCATTTGTTGGCTTTACTGCTGGTTTGTTCATTATTTATTTACTTATTCTTACTACTAAAAACATTAATTTATACCATATTTTGAGGAACTATTTTAAAAACAACTACAAATGTACAATACATGTGTTTTGTATTTAAAAAGAAAACAAATATTAATAATGTTAAAGAAATTTTTTCTCTTTTTCTACCAGTGGTAGAATTGTAATACCTTTGTATTGTAGGATGCACATAAAAGGCAATTGTCATCAGAAAACAATAGGATTGTTTCCTGATGTACAATTTACCTCTATTGAGCATTGAGTGACCTTGTTAAGCCAACCAAATGGTTTTGTTTTGTGTTGTCAAACTGCAGGCCAGATCAGTCAAAGGATGCTACGACCATGGTGAAGAACATAAGGGCAGCAGTCCTCCTTGGCAACCTCAAGTCTCTGCCAAAAGTTCCTTCAAAGATTGTTAGAATTTTTGTGAGTTCTACATTTGGAGGTGAGTTAAGTTGCAATATGTTTTTTTTTTTACTTTACATCAGAAGACTGTGTAGAATCCAGAAACTTGAAACAGACTATTGTACCTCATCCCATCATGTAACTTATGCTGAGATACTGTTTGACATTTTTATGTATGGTATTTCTAGATAGATGGCGTTTTTCACATTTTTTTTTTAATTCTCAAAATTTAGGGCCCTTGAAATCTGTCTCTTGTAAAGCTTAGAACACAGTTCTACATCATACAGACAAGTACACGTCTATAAAATATAAATTATAATGTTTATATAGTTGGAAATCCCTATGAAAATGGGAAAATGGAGCAAGGAAAAAAAAATCTTTTGATTTGTCTTTATTTTTCTAATAGTATTTTTGTTGTAAGAGAATATTTTAATTTTTAATTTTTGTAGATACGGTGGCTGAGAGGAACATACTCCTGGAGAAGGCATACCCAGAGCTTAAGAAATGGTGTCAAGAGAAAGGCCTAGATTTTCAGGTTGTTGACATGAGATGGGGGGTCAGGGATGAGGTCAATGATGATCACATGACTTTGAATATCTGCTTGCGTGAGATTGAGAACTGTCAAGTCCTGTCAGTTGGACCAAACGTCCTTGTAAGTGTGGAAAAGTCTAACTGTTTTGTGTAATATATCTTATAACTATATTGTATGTTATTTTCTCCTAAAATATTGTTTTCCAAAAAATTTATAACCACTGTTACTTGATTACTTGACAGTTGTACTGCATTTTACGTAGCTTAATAATCCAATTGTGTATATTACGCCAAAAACTTTTATGATGTATGTAAACCAGTTGAAAACGATGTGCACAAAAAACCAACATGCAATACAGTGACGGATTCAGGGGGAGAAGCAGCCAGCTGTTGCTTCCTTTAGTAAATTTTTCAAAATTATAAAAAAAAATGCTGAAAAATAGAAAATTGTATTCAAATTACAGTCTAAATGTCCAACATCTAGAGGAAGTTTTCTTATCTGTGAAAGTAGCTGATACAAATTTAAACCATGTTTTAGAAATTATATCATATTTAGGCAAGACTTTTTTTTTTATAACTTGTTTAGTCAAATCGCCGCCCACTAATAATGATTCTTTCAAATAAAACCAAAATTATATTTTTAGCCAATTAGGGCATCCACCGCCACGATAAATTGAAATTTCAGAATAAAAGTAAAAATTTCTTTATTTTTTTATGCCCGTCACTGCCTTGAAGTCTCTAAAAATAAGATATGTATATTTCTTTCTATTTATATAAATTTAAACATTTAACCATCCCATTTACTACACTGTTTACATTCACCAAGAAAAATTTTTTTTTTCCTCCATCTGGATGTTTTTAGCAAAACCATTTGTTGAATAAGAAAACAATTTTTTTTTTGTGATGATCTTTGAAAAAATAAGTTCGCGAAACAAAGTCTAAAAAAGCTTGCCCTATGATAATATTTTTTTTCCGTCAGTTTCTTCTTGGTCAGCGATATGGCTGGAGACCAAACCCTGCTACCATTGATGCTGTTGAGTTTGAAACTATTCTGAAATTCGCAGAAGAGGATGAAAATGCTACGTCCCTGCTTGTGAATTGGTACCAACGAGATGAAAACAGTGACCCACCAGTGTTTGTTCTCCAACCAGTAACTCAGGACAGAAAAGATGAATGGATTCGAAATTCAAGTTCCTTGAGTCGAGCATTAAGAAAGGCTGTAGAGGGTGCAGTTGAAGCTAATGAAATTAACCAAGATAGGGGAAAATACTATTCAATGTCAGGTACTGCAAAACTTAATTTAAACCTAGTACTCAATACCAACTCATTGTGGTTACAAGAGGTGCCAGAAATACACAATGGTAGGCCTAAAGTGGCAGTCAAATTAATATTTTCACTTCACATTTTTATTTGTATTTAGGTGTATTGTATTTTCAAGAAAATATAATACTTTTTGTATATAAGAACAGAACTGTTTATATTTAAATAGTCATCATAATAAATCATAATAATAATTAATGATTGAATCATACTAAATGATTTAATTTCTGCATAGAATACAATACAATAATAATCATTTATTTCAAGCTAGCATTATAAATCAAACACAAATGAAAAACTTATTTATCATTTCCCTCAACTTAAAACAGTTATCAATAATAATTCTTCTTTAAACACAAATCTAGAATTAAGGCAGGTTACAAAATAAACAAATGCATTTGTAAAATGTATTGTATATGTAATAATCTTTCGATGAAAGATTGTTGTGAAGTGAAATAGTAATACTGTAATTAGTTGATTTCTTGTTTGATCCTTCAGTAACTGAGCACGAGATCAAGTTTGCTTTAGAGACAGAGACACCTGATAACCACTGTGTTGCATTTATTAGAACACTTCAACATCTTGAAGAGAATCTTGCCAATCCAAAAGCTCATAGCTACACCGATTTCATCAGTTATACTAGCACTGAAATTGACAAAGAAGCAAGGGATCGTCTGACAACATTTAAAGAGAAGTTTATTCCATCCAAACTTGGTGAAGAAAATATACACAAATATTGCATTGATTGGACAAGTGAAGGTGTTGACATCTCAGATGAAGACCACTACAAGTATCTAATCACCTTCTGCACAACATTTGTAAAGGATGTTAAAAGATTGGTGAAGAAAGGACTCAGTGAGTCTCAACTCTTAGAACTCTGTCAGGACTCCCTCTTCATGGAGGTTTTACATCATAGTAAATTTTGTCTTCTGAAGTGCCAGAACTTTTGTGGAAGAAAGGAACTTCTGCACAGCATTGAAAAGTATCTATCTAATCCGGAGAAGACTAAACCCTTGGTGATACATGGACCATCTGGTGTTGGCAAAACATCAGTGATGGCAATGGTAGCCCTAGAGCAACAGAACAAGAGAGACTGCCAGACAGTTTTAAGATTTCTTGGAACATCATCACATACATCAACTATATTTCAAGTGATGTTGACAATATTTAGCCAGATTTGTGAGACCTACAAGTTGACCATTCCAGCAGATGTCAAATTGAAGAGGTTTGCTGATTTGGTGAAGTATTTTCCAGTTCTCCTTCAACAAGTTTCAGATGTTGCAAAAGACAAACCCTTGATCATATTGTTAGATTCAATTGACCAACTGCAGTCTGCTTATGATGCATATGAAGTAAAATGGCTGCCAAAACAATGTCCACCAAATGTTAAAATTGTTCTCTCAACTTTGCCTGATGCATCACATATTCTGGATGAAATGAAAGAGTACTTAGGAGACAGTGAATGCTTCATGGCAGTCGAAGCATTGTCAGAAGACACAGGAGAAGCAATTTTAAATTCCTGGATGGCTAGTATCAACAGAAAAGTCACAGCAGAACAGTTTACAGTCATTAGAGAAGGTATACTATGTGTTAGTTTCATTTTTACTGACAATAATATCATACATTTGTGTTGTATAGCGCCTTCTAACAAATGGTTCTCCATTTCAGCATTCCAGGAATGTCCTCAGCCAATATTTCTGAAGTTAGTCTTTGAGGAAGCAAGACGTTGGAAATCTTACACATCTGTGAGTGAGAATGATTTGGCATACACTGTACGGGAGGCCATTTGGCAGCTGTTTGACAGACTCGAGCGACAGTTTGGTAGGACAGTTGTCTCACACGCTCTGGGCTACATCAGTGCATCTAGGTAGGTCTCAGACAAATCCAGTGTTTTTTTAGATATAAGACGTGTCATTGTACCAAATCTTAAGTATTTCAGATAATACAAATTATTATTATTAATACATAGAAATGGCGTGACGGAAGGAGAATTAGAGGATCTGTTATCAATTGATGACGAGGTGTTAGATGAGATCTACCAGTACTGGTCACCACCTAATCCCAACGTGGTCAGATTACCACCTCTGCTGTGGGCTCGGCTTCACAGCGAGATCCGTGAGTACATGGTGGACAGGGAAGCAGATGGCAGAACAGTGATGGCATTGTACCATAGGTTAGTCTTAAGCCCTGTCCTGACTATCAAATTTTATTTGTGACATGTCTAAATAAGGTCACAATGACATCACATCATGACCATATATAGGCAAATCATGACTATATAAGGGCATATGACACTTAATAGTGTGTACAGAGTTTTAAATTAATTTATTTTATATATAATAAATTCTTTATATGTCCTCTTATATCTTATATGTATACCTACACAATGGGAACTTTTGGACTGGGTCCCCGGTGAGGGGACCCCGTGGCAGCCATAGTTCGGTGCCAACTACCCGACTTGGTCTACAACATCAAACGGATACAGACTGATACAAACATGGCTCTCCTTGAGATGGTTATTCAAAGAGCTGAGCTTTTTTGTTATTATAAAAGACCCAAATTAGTACTCGATGCAGACCCGGGTATCAAACCCTGGCCCTGGCGTGCAAGAGGCAGGAACCATATCAATTAGCCAAACGCTCAGCTCATAATCCTACCTACCTTACCTTCGACGATCGCCAGGTCGCACTGATGCCTGCATGTGCTCATTTCGGACGTTTCTGTCTATCATACAATTACAAAGCTCTTCTACATTTTCTTATCCAGATTTTGCCTGAACCCAGGTCGTAAGCGACTAAAAATTCTAAAATGAAAAAAAAAAGAATAGTGATAGCCATTATATTTGAAGACATTTTAAGATGTGATCATCATTGTCATACATCTCTTTATTTCAATCTATATTTTGCAATTATTGCTTCAATTATATCGTATATTTTAACATTATCATCATGTTCGTCGTCGTAATCATCATTGTTATTTGACATCAACAGGCAATTCATTGAGGCCTCTAGAGACAAGTACCTCAAGGATGACAAGGAAAGACAAGCTCGACACCAGCTGATGGTGGACTTCTTCCTGGGCACATGGAGTGGTAATCAGAAGAAGGTACAGACCTGTCCAGGCTATCAAATTATATTTTATGAATAATGGCGTCCTCAAAATATTATAAATAATATATAATTTATTTTGTAAACAAGCACATGTAGAGCTTCATATGCTGTTTGTAGCTAATCATGGATGGACAACTCAAATGTTTTATATTACACATGCATTAATAATTTTAATATGGGCTCAAAATATTAATCATGATGCACCTATATATTGTGATGATGGGATATCATTATGGCCTTATAGGCAGTCACATGATATGTGTTCATTTATAAAAGAAAAAAAATTGTTTGAAAAATGTTGAGATTGCTTAGCCTACTATTTAAAGTAGTCCTTTAAATTAAAAAAACGGCGCAAGTTAACCCCTATTTTTTTGCATATTTAAGCTAACATACCCATATAATCATGATGCACCTATATATTGTAATGATGGGATATCATTATGGCCATATAGGCATGTCACATGATAGTCTGAGCAAGTTTGAAGATTTTAAAATAAATGTTGTCAGGGTGTTGAAAATTAGAATGAAAATATTCATACACAAATGATTTGCATCTCTTTGTGTTCTATGTTGGCTACAAATATTATTCAGATTCTGATGAAAATAAATCAGCAGCCTTCAAACAACAACAACAACAACAATAATAATAATATTAATAATAATAATAATAATAATAATAAAAGATTTATACCATGCCTTTTGCCAAGGGCTACAAGGTGCTGGCTATGTTGTTCTTATTTATCATTGCCCTTTTAATGATGACCTTTTATATATGTAGTTCAATTGAGGGTATAAATAAAGTCTTCCCTTGTTGTTGCAAATGCTATAGACACTGATACTGAACCAGCTTAAACGTACTTTAGAAGCAGACAGAAAAGTTTCGCCTCAACCAATCATGTTTAAGGATGTATTTAACTACAGGAAGCTAAATGAACTTCCGTACCATCTACTGCATGCCGAGAACGAGGACCAGATGATCAAGGTATGTGGCTCCTGGCTTGATTACGAACACATTGTGGGTGTAATAATATAAATGGCATACAAATCATCTGCTAGATACCATCAACATGTATTTTGTCTCCCTAATGAATATGGTTGTTTTGAGTAAATGCTCACACAGGGCATGGATATAAATCTTCATCAAACACAGCATAATGTAAGTTAGTCTATAAACTAGGATGCGATTGTTTTGTTAGTTTTCTCAAGTCCTTAAGGCCAACTCAGACAGTGTCGGCCGACGCAGCCCGACCCGATTTGTTGTCGCGTCGGGTCTGTGTGAGTTGAACGCAGACGCGATGGTGTGCGTCGGGGACAGTCGCGTAGTAGAATATTAAACGTGTTTAATATTTCTCACGACGGCTTAAGACTGTCCCCGACGATAAATCGGGTCGGGCTGCGTCGGCCGACGCTGTCTGAGTTGGCCTTTAGAAATAGAATAGCATGCTCTGGAATTTGAAATAGGGCTACCTGTAATATGTAGCATTGATCTAATCATCATGTGTATTCAATTGTAGACTAATATCCACTAACAGACAGTATAGCATCCAAGACAAGAGGCAGGGGTGAAGCTATTGTTGCCAGGCCCCACCACTGCACTCTCCTTGTCATCTTACAACTTTATATACATTAAAATCATCTTGTATCATCTCATTCCTGCAGTATACCCCCAACTTTTCATGCACCCCTTCCCCATTACCCTCTCCATATCAATACTCATTTACTAATCATCATGACTTATTCCCCATTCCCAGCATGTTCTTGGAAACTTTGACTTCCTTTATGCATGGGTTGAGGCTTATAAGCCACAGCATGTTATCGAAGAAATGGACATGATAATCGCTTATCCTACAACAAGTAAACAACTTACTACAGAGCTTGAGCTTGTACAGGATCTGCTGAGGTAAGTTGGGTATTGACCATTCAACTATACCATTTGTTTTCAATGGGAGGCTCAGGAAGTCATGTCATAATTAATATTTTGAGCCCACATTCAAATTAATAATGCATGTGTAATATAAAACTTCTGAGTTGTCCATTCATGATTAGCTTCAAAAACAGCATACACAGCTCTAAATGTGCATGTTTAAAAAATGAACATATAATTTATAATATTTTGAGGGTGCCATTTTATTGCAAGATCCACAAAATATCATTCCAAAAGTATGATACAAACATTAATTTCAAATCATTGATCCAAAGTTTGAAATTTAACTGTACAATATGTGGTTGTTGGGGTTTTCTGAGAAGTTGTGGTGTTTAATGAACAATCATGTACTTCTTTACTCTAAGGGGAAGATTCAGAGGGATTGGGGAGTTGACTAATTCTTTAAAATAAAAAAATAAAAAAATAGAAAAATTTATGTGTGACTGCCATTTTCAGCCATGTAAAGGTTCCAAACAGGAATAGTAGCAACAGTGGTGGGACCAAGATGATCTGGACCCTTCGTAACTCTGAGCTTCCTCTATATCAAATGTCTGGATCTAACCCTGGACTTTATAAATATATTCAATCATTCTTTTCCCTCATTATAGATTAGTGAAACCAACATTAGAATATGCAATAATTTTGAAGCAATCAAATTGCCTAGCAACTGATATGCTTGGCCGGATGCTGCATTTTGCTGACACGCACACATGCATTATAAAATCACTGTTAGAGGGCGCTACAAGGTGGTGCCAGAAACATGACAAGCAGTTGGTGTACGCAACACGTAGTTGTTATCCAGCTCCTGGTGGTCCTCACCGAGCTACTCTAGTTGGACACAGAGGTGAGGCAACTTTTGAATAAATTATAATAAAAGAAGAAACAAGAGCAGGCACTTTGTAGTGTGCATACAATGCACTGAATACTTACTATTAAAAAAAACCCCAAGCCTTTGAACTTTTCAACCCACAATTTAATCATCTCTTTTTTTAGACCATTTTGTACCAATTCACTAAAGTTCCATGAAGATTCATTCATAGGTTTTTGAATAATCCTTCTAACTAACAAACGGACAGACAGACAAACAGCAGTGATTCATAACCTCCTTGGTGGATTTTAATGAAATTGATTAATTTGTTGACAATGATGATAATCTTCTTATGAATCTAGAGTACCAATATTATGTAAAACTACACTGTAGTTTATTTACAATTGCTGTTGTTAAAGGTAACATACGTGACATTGCTGCAAATGCAGAAGGCACGTTAGCGGTGAGTGCAAGTGACGATGGAACTGCTCGGTTGTGGGACCTGATAGATGGAGAACCAATCTTGACATTTACAGGTCATAATGGTATGTTGGAAAATAGTTTTGATTATAATTCAAGGTGTTGAGTTCTGTTGGGAGATTTCCCTAAAAGGCTGAAAAGTGATTTGTCCATATAAATGGAAAATCAGTGTGATTAAATAAATCAAGTCATATTTATCTTTTCTTAACTACACTATATTAAACCATCCGTTTATATAATTCAGGACCAGTGAATTGTGTGGCTTTATCTGCAAACTCAACCCGTGTTGTAACAGGCTCAGCTGATAACACTCTAAGAGTCTGGGATGTTGACTCTGGTGATGAGGTACGGGTGATTGAAGAGGATCACTCAGCATATACTAATCATTCGCTACTTTGCATATCACATGACTCAAGCAAGATTATCTCTGGATCTACTGAGATTATAATGGTAAGTAAATTGATGGAGTTTTTTTTTTTTGTCTTTTTAATCTTGCTATTTCAGGTGTTGCCATTAGTATTGATGAGAGGCAGGCACAATGCCCCTTAGGGCAGAAACATAGCATGAGCCACTTCACAGCCCGTCCACAGTATAAGCTGAGACTAAGCATGCCCAGCTGAGGTTGGTTATCCTGTGGTTGGAACCCTCGACATCGAGGTTCAATTCAATTCATCAACATTTATTTCAATTAATGGTAAATAATAATTACAATAGAATAATTATTGTAACAACAATATATACACAAAATAAATTGGAACCTGAATGGAAATTGCTACACCAAACTGCCTTCCTCAACCAGAATTTTGTACACATCTACAGAGTTTTATGTGTTTTATTATTATATTTTATATTTACATTTATATTTTCAAGGTTTATGAAATGAACTCAGGTCAAGATATACACCGACTGACAGGTCACACATTACCTGTCTCATGCATATGCATAAGCAATGATGACCAGATCCTAGTCAGTGGGTCGGAAGATAAGAGCATCAAGGTTTGGTCAGTTGTTACCGGTAATCTTCTTGCAGACAGGAAGGAGTTCGAAGGAGAAGTATCAAAGGTTGCCATTACTGATGACAGGCACATTCTTGCGGGTGATAAATCTGGGGGAATAAAAGTAAGTTTCTGTGATATCATTGACTTCAAATGTGGAGAATGTTTGCTATTTCAAGATTTATGGATTTTGTCATTGCCTATTTATGAATTCTTCGAAAAGCTATTAAAGATGACCACAAGTCATTAGAGGTGGCCATGCCATCTATATGTTTTTGGGCTCTATCTAATTTTATTTTCTTCTCATGTTCTTTGAAGGATTTGTAATTTATGTTGGCTACTTGTAGATAAAACAATGGCACTTCCCAAGCCTCGTAGTGGACAATTTTAAGTGGCAATCTTCTTCCAATTGAAAATGTATATACAAATATCTTGGTTGCGTTTTTTTCAGATTTTCTCAACTTTGAAGAATGATAATGGTCTAGATGTCACCAGTAAACATGCAATACAGACACCTGACGATGCTCGGGTGTTCTCACTCTGTGCCAGCAATGATGGCAATTGGATGGTGGTGGCAGCTGACAGAGCAGTGCTGGTGTATAGCATCAATGATGGTAGTTTAAAGCACACACTTACAGGTATGACTCCTTCTAATGGTAACATTTTTGTGGAAGTAGAAGCGATGGAGCATAAGTTTTTGGGCTTTTGTCAGTCTGGTCATGAGGAAAAGGCCGATTCTTTTTACATTGATGACCATTGACCTTTGGCAAGACACTTCCTTAATATGGTCTATGCTTAGACAAAGCTAGTAAAGACATACCAATTATTGTTGCTGCGCTGCTAATACTTTTCGGCGTGCCATAATCATATGTACATTCATAGCTTTGATTTCTGTGCTCATATAAATGCTTAAATTGATTCCTGATCTGCTGCACATTATTTAGCTTCCACAAGTGTTATAGCAAACAATCTGATAAAGGAAAGAAAACTACGCATGTGAATGGTCAAACCCATTGCTTTGTCCATATTAATTTGACTTGTGGAAAAAAAGCTTTAGCCCAAATAAAATTGAATTCCTCAATTAGCTGCATCACTCTGAATACTTTTCTTTATTACTGGTTCAGTGTGTGGAAATTGATTCCACTGTTGAAAAGACTAAATATAATAAAAGAATTTGGCATTGGTCTTTTCATAATACTCATAAATTTCCTCAGGTTGGGAAGAATTCTCCAAAAATGTCTTTTTCTCAGACATGCATGTCAGAAAATACTTCACTGTCATGCATGGACCCAATATACTACGTCCAGACTATTAAATTTGATTTGACAAAACTTGTAAAATGCCCAAATATGGTCATGATGACATCACATCATGATATATCGACTATATATAGACACATTATGACTATAGATGGGCATACAAAAGTATTTTGTCAAAGAAAATTTGATAATTTGGACAGAGCTTTGAACACGTTATATTTTCATTACGGATTTTTTGGGCTCAGTACGGACTCTAAACGTATGCATTTTCTTTTAGTTTTAAGGCGTATGCGGATTTTATAAGTCCGCAATGACGATATAACGTGTTTTTATACAATAACTGGTGAATGATCATAAGAACATCACTATCACTGTATAATGGATGTTTGATGGTGTTTACTTCACAGGGCATGATGATGTGATAGACTGCGTAGCTGTAACATATTCAGATAAGTATATCGTGTCTGGGGCTCGTGATAACATTATGATCGTCTGGGACTTGTCAACAGGACAACTTATTGAGAATCTCGAAGGTCAGCAAGTGGAGGTTTCCAACTTGGTTCTGACTGGCGACATAGTTATATCAACATCCGTAGTATCGCAGTACATCAAACTGTGGAGTACCGAGGAGAAATACATTTCGCATTATAATCTCTTCTTTCGGGATCAATCTGGTGTCATAGCCATTACAAGGGACAAGAATTTTGTGTTGCATTACTCAACTAACCCACCTGAAGTAGTAGTGTGGTGTTGCCAGAGGCGAGAACCTGTTCTCAGCCAGAAATTGCATAATGCCAGAGTCACTAGCATTGCAACTTGCCGTGACAATAACACTGTACTTTCTGGTGACGTAGAGGGCGTGTTGCTTATTTGGAACATCAACACAACTGATGTCATTTCGAAGCATGCATTTAAGGATAGCATTCGACATATTAGTATCCGACAAGATGACCAATATGCAGCTGTTGCACATGAAAAGAAAATATCATTATGGGATATCAAAACTAATACCATTGTGAAGACGTGGAGTCCGCAATTAGAAGCACAAGATATCATCGAGTGTGTACTTTTGACTAATGATAATCAAGTGCTTTGCGGTATGAACACGGGATTGGTGTTGGTGTTTGGGAAGGATGGCACAGATGTACGGTCACTGTCTCAGTGCAAGTCAAAGGTCACATGCTTGGCTCTTAGTCCCAATGAAGATGTCCTTGCTGTTGGGTCAGAGAATACTTGTGTGCCTGTCTGGGACTGGAAGAAAGGGATATTGATAAAAATTATTGAGGAAGTAAGTAAACATATTTCTATGTTATATACCAACTTTAAGCCTGGTTTACATAAAATCACTGTTCGCTATCATCATTTTGTTTGTCAAATCAGGAGGCCTTCCCACCCTGTGTTAGGGACAGCTATGCAGTGGTATGATTGCATTGAAAACACTGTCGTGACCAAATATTTTTTTTTGAAAACCTGGTTTTAAGTTTGTGTTTGTGATATTTTATACTTTATACACCTGCGTCGTACGACCATCACGTGACAAAACAAATTCTGCTCCCTGTAAGCGCTATCTGATGCGACACTGTCTGCTGATTGTTGGTGGCAGTCTGGATGGATCGTCATAGAGAAAATGATCTGTTGCGTGCATATCGTTGTGCTGCGTTCTGCATAGAATCACATTGGCCAACGTCAGTTGGGTGCGGTGATTGCCCGCCTTAAGATTACAAAGCACTTTGTCTTTCGTTGGTTGCTGTTCCTGCTGCCATATTAACTCAGTACCCATTAATATTCCTAAGCATGAGACACAAGCAAAGTGGACAGCGAGTGACACACCATAAAAAAGAAAACAGAATGATTGTAAAAATTTAATGACGTTTCTTCTGCAGACATTTAGCATGGTATCTATGGCATTCACAGAAGATGGTCGTTACTTAGTAACCGGGTCAGCAGACAAGGTAAGGCTATTCATCTTATTATTATTTCCATATTTGTTTCATACACAGATAATAAGTATGCATTGTTTTGAGGCATACACTTCGTTTGTTTATTGGTTTTTTTCACACAAATGAAATGAGTTATACAATAAAATGGGAAAATAATGAATAACTATTGTTATTATCTTAAGTAATTGACAGCAGTAATCATTAAATAAGGTAAAATATTGGTGTAAAAGGAAGTCATAATAAGTTATAAAAACTTTAAAGCATGACCACCAGATAATCAGTCACATGCGACGTAGTAGGCCTAATAATTAATATTGATATAAATTCAAACATGACATAAAAAATATATATACATAAAAAAATAATATAATAATAATAATAATAATATAATATATTATTATTATTGTTATTATTATTATTATTATATTATTTTTTTATGTATATATATATTTTTTATGTCATGTTTGACATATAATATAATATAATATAATATAATATATATGAAAGTAGTAAGATAAGCAGGAAATTGTGCAATACAGTAATGTGCAATATAACTTTTGAGTTGACTCAAGGACAGAATAAGAAGATTAAAATGGTATGAACACTTAGTGAACTCACAAGTAGGAACCACTAGTGAACTTTTTTAAATTAAGGAAAGTAAAAGAGACCTAAAGTCGGACACACAGCTTATTCAACTTTGAACGGGTACTTCGCAACTCTTTATTCAGGAAACATGTGAAAGGGTGAGTGGTGGTGAGCAATAAAACATGTGAAGGGGTGAGGAGTGGTGGGCAATAAAATATATGAAGGGGTGATGAGCATGACATGAAGATGTGTAGGTTGTCTTGACATGACTACCATTTAAGATTAAAACAAAATAGAACGTTTGTTAAAAACTCTGTCCAATTCTATCTTGTCCACCCAATTCCATGAACAGAATTGATCATCCTGCTTGAGAAAAAAACAAAAAAAACAGATTTGTGAATATAATGAGTTGAATTCATGTTGATGCATCACAATTTTACTCTTTTCAGTTGATACGAATTTGGCAATTAAGTGATGGCTCTTTCTACCTCTCACACTACATATATTCCGACTTGGTTACCATGGCAGTTCAAGATAATGAGATTATTGGTGGGACAAGGTTCGGTCAGCCGATTGTTCTCGCAATTCACGAGAAACCCGCCAATGTGTTAGATGCTCTGCCAAGCTCATCAAGCACATATGGATTGGTTGATTCCCAGAATGCCAGTAGTGATACACAGGCTGTTACAAATGGTGATCCACCAATTGATGTTACACCCTCTGAAGAATCAAATATTTCACTAACTTTAACTGCTAAGGAAGATGAATTACAACGCAGCAGCAGTAGGGAGTCATTTAAGTCCTGTAATTCTACATCAGACAATAAAGCTGAAAATACGCTACCAGTGACGCCAAAGAAAAGAAAAACATCTTCAGTCTGCCAACTAATTTAACATTAATAAAACTTGGCTAAAAGAAACAAGTGATGCCAAAAGGAAAGGAAAACATCTGAAGTCTGCCAACTACTTTAACATCATTAAGACTCGGCTAAAAAAAACAGTGACGTCAAAGAAAAGGAAAACATCTGAAATCTATAAACTAATTTAACATCAATAACACCCGGTTAAAAGAAAATAGTGATGCTAAAGAAAAGGAAAACGTCTGAAATATGCCAACTAATTTAACATCAATAACACCCGACTAAATGAACCATGCCAAAGAACAAGACAAAATCTAGCAGTATGCCAACTACTTTAATAAAGTGAAAAGGATGCGATACCGAAACGGCCGTAACTGACATTTGTGTGGATTTTGAAATAATATCATTTGGGAGTATAATTATCTGTGAAAATTTCAGGTCTCAAAAACGAGTCGTTTCGGATATAGCACCACCCATCCTTTAGTACAAACCTTAAAATCCAGTGGTTTTCCATGGCAAAACAACGTAACTACAAAATTACAGGGCAATATGGTTACTTTCTGCGAGTATGTATTTTTGTATTGACTATTTGATTTTGTGTGAAAATAAACATTTCTCAGGCTCACACTCAGAGTAGTAACAATCAACCACAATGTTATAAAGTCAAGAGGGTGTAAAATGCCTAGTGAATCGAAACTAGCAACAATATCACATGATCCACTAGAAGGATTTCATATTTATAATATAGTGACATAACAAAAAAAATTATATAAATAAATTTTCCCCACAGTTTCTAGTTATTTATGTTTAGTTGTGTCAAAATTAAAGATGTGTCAAGACATATTTTATGTTTAGTTGAGCATTTAATAAATTACTTATGCAAGTGCCTTTTAACTTAGAATTCTCAGGTTGAAAAGTAGTGTATTTTATTATGTGTATTCTTAAGATACACATTTTTTACCGTTGCAATACACTTTTTACAATATATTTTATATGTCTAAAGTAAAAATAAACATACATATATTAATGTGTGTAACTATAATTTTGTAATATAATATTATTGACAATCTGAATGGGACTTGTGATTAAGGTGACACTTCTGAAATATGATCTCCTAATCATATGTCTTCATTTATAAAAGAAAATCTCTTGTTTTCAATATGTTAGATTGTCTAACCCACTGTTTAAAATAGCGCTTTAAATAAAAAAAGAGGCATGGGCTCTATTTGAATTTGAACGGGACGTGTGAGCATGGTGTGATCTCTGTAATTTTATCACCTCATCAATTGTGTTTATTTACAAAACAAACACTCCTGTTTGCAATATTTCCAGATTATCTAGCCTACTGTTTAAAGTAGCACTTCAAATAAAAAGGGGCATCCCCATTTTTAGCATATTTAAAACAACTTGCATATGAACGAGACATGTAACCTGGACAGTGTGATTTCTGAATATATTCCCTTATGTGTTTATAAAAGAGTAATCATATTTTTCCAATATTTTTTTATTATCTAGCCTACTGTTTAAAGTAGCATTTCAAATATAAAAGAGGCATCGCCACCATTTTTGTGCATACAAAAGCTAATTTGCATATGAACAGGACATGTGACCACAGTGTGATTTCTGAAATGTTGTCCCCTCATCATATTATATGTTCATCTATAAAAGAAAAACTCTTATATGCAATTTGTGCAGATGGCCTAACCTAAGGCCAAATGTAGTGCCTCAAAAGAGGCATGGCCCCTACTTTTGGCATATTTAAGCTAATTTGCATATGAACAGTGTGATTTCTAAAATGGAAATGTTAACCCTCATCATATGTGTTCACTTACAAGAGCAAAAAGATCATTTGAAAAATGTTGAGATTGCCTAGCATACTAAAGTGTGCTTTAAATTAAAAAGATGCAAGTTAACCCTTACTTTCTGCATATTTAAGCTAATTTGCATATAAACAACATATCTGACCACATTGATTTCTGCAATTTTATCCCCTTACCGTATGTGTTCATTTATAAAAGAAAAATGTTTATTTGCAATATGTGCAAATGTCCTAGCCTACAGCCAAATGTAGTGGCCCAAATAAAAGAGTCGTGGCCCCGTTTTTGGCATATTTAATGCTGATACGGTCATGCTGTTACAGTTGTGCTGTTGCTGTTACACTGTCACCATCGCAAAATCACAGTCAGCTTCATTGCTGTCACAATGATAGGCCACTACCACAACATTGCTGGATTTATCTCTGTTTCTGACTGAGGAACACTAGTTTAGCTGGTAAATTGCAAGGATATTTCTGCCAATATTAATCTCTGGAGACTTTGATAGTGTCGGTGTCCATGATGCAGTGTTCATGGCGCTTTTACCACCCAAGCTTAAAAAGATCGGGAAAAAGAAATTAACACAAAACCAGGTTGAAATTTTAGTAGGTAGGTGCAGGTTGGAGAATAATTAATTTTTACTTGTATTCATATATGTACAGTAAGTTGTCCTCTAGTGTTCAATCCGGTTCAAGAGAAACATTTTCAATCTTCTAATTAATTGTATATAGCTGGAGTTAGTTTCCACCAGGCAAACTTTGCTAAAAAGGTACACTTTTTCCATATAAATTCTTCTTCTGTGAAGGAATGACCTGTTCGAAGCACGAACTCCTGTAGACCAAACACAGTACCGTTAAGATTTTTAATTGTGCGAGAAATCCATTCTTGATACTAACAACCATATCGTAGATTGGGATGCTACCATCTTTAAAAGAGGGTGACATAAATTCAATAAATATTTTACTTTAATCAATTACACAAATTTTATTTTAAGTATTTTTACAGACTTTTTAACAACCATCATATCAGAATTATTATTTAATTTAAAAAGCAAAAACATAGTAACAAATTTGGATTGATATCAAGCTATGCTAATAAAATACTTTATAACATTATTTACTTTACAACTTTACTTAGGGTATAATTATTTACTAAGCACTTCAAAGCAGTTCAAAGTCTCTCCATTCATTGTTCTATTGTTTAACAATGAAAACCACCCCTACCAGGCCACAAGACCAAAGACAAACCCTAAAAAACCAACTTGTTGGAGCATACGGTATTACAATATATCTCTCTATTTGGAGATTATTTACTTCAGTACCTCACTGAAAACAGCTCGCAGAATTTTAAGGTAAACATTTCTTACGTTGTTTTGTACCCCACTTTTGCGGTTGGTTAAATACTACATTAATTAAATTATTATTAAGCTTTGATTTATTATGAATCTCTTCAGCTCCTTTGAAAGAAAAGGTAGTTTTTAATTTGTATGTTTCTCTATTGTAATGTTCATGACCTGGTGAATGTAATTAAGCATTTTATAATCAATTACACTTGTCCTCTAATCAAAAAGCTGTAGCTCTGATCCTGGAGCCCGCTGCAAAGCTAGTAAAAAAAATCTATGGCTTTTTAACATTGGCGAAAGTGCAACCTAGGTTGAAACTGCCGACTAAACCATATCCAGATCCATTATAAATAGGGTATAATAATTTACTAAACAGCAGATTGTCTGTCCGTCCATATTTTTGTGACAGATTTGTTTTGCCCTGGCAAACAGCTACCGCATCATTTATTATCTAAAATCATTATTTGTGCCTTCACTACCTACAGGTAGTATCTATACTTTATTACTATATTATTTACCTAGTCCAAATGATAAAAGTTATTAAAAATTATTTTTGAATTCACAGGAATATATTTCAAGATGGCTAACAGTAAGTTGAATCAGTTCTTTAAAATGTTGATGAGAGGGTATTAGAGTGTACCATCTGCTTTAGATGCTTCAAATCATATCCCATTCCAAAGAGGGGGCTTTGGAAGCTTCCACTAAATACCTTTCTAAATAATTTATTAGAAGCTATCAAACAATTTTCAGACAAAAATATCAGATGAATTGTAGAGTGTGTGAAAAAGAAAGAACAAGTAAAATAATAAGTATGAGGCGTCTCTATTTTTTCTTAATATAGATATCACTGATGGCACTTTCAGACAGCTTTTGTCAGTTATTTCAGAATGGTATGACCAGCATGGATACATCAATATGCTGAAAGTTTTGTACAGAGATCTCTTGAAAAACCATTATGAGTTGAATAAGGCTACCAAGGTGATAGACCTAATGAATTTGTTGATTGCTTCTGGACATTTAGACTCAACATATTTCAATCTTCTATATGATACTATAAACATAACAGAGCAATATGGCTTAGAAAGAAAGATCAAAGATATACTGCCAGAATTTCAAAATGTTAAAGATGTAGCAATCTCAAAATTCACGTATCACAGACGAAAAGTTATGAAGCTTGGAATGGTACTGATTGATGAAGATTTGAAAAAGATCAGTGGATGGTATGAACCAGCAAAGGAATATGCAGACACATGGAGTTTGATTATGGATCTGGAGCACAACATGATAATTTGTGAAGGAAAAATGGACGCCTTCATTAAAAATCTAAATACCCTTAAACTCCAAAATGCTGTTAAAGCTTTAACTGAAGGTATTCAATGTAATTGCCATTTTATATAAATTTAATATTGTTAATACCAGCAAGGATCAAATATCCTAAAGTAAAAAAAGGAATCAACAAAGCAATGGAGGTGGGAATTATAGGCTGCTTCTTAAATCTCTCAATCAGTTAAAAAAACTTAAGTTTGTTAGCAAATATGATAAGGAATTAGTGAAACTTTAATAAGTGTTCCTTATTGGACCCTGCCCTCCCCCTGTATTTGGAGCAATAATGATAAAAATATTATACTATTAAATTCATCATCAAAGGTATGAACAGTAAATTAGGATATTCATTCACTATGAATCTTCTATTCATCGCAGTGTCTATGCTGGTGTAATAATCCGATGGATTGACTGATATTTTTGAATGACTGTACAGTACTCCTCACTTCATTGAGGATCTGATACTCCAGTCCCAAATGGAGACACCATTTTGCCTAACTTTTAAATATGTCTATCTTTCAAAATTTATATTTTATATTCTGACAGTAAACTTTTTATTTACAGACATCACAAATGCAACTTCAAACTCTGGACATGGTGAAGGTAATGACGCATGTATTCATGTAAAGATTGATTGTCATGATTATAATAATAATAATTATAACATACGAAAACTAAAGTTATTCTACAAGTTCATGTAAGAAAGAACCACTATATTAACAAATTGAAGTTTAATAAAAAGGAAGGCATTTTAAAATATAGGACAAAATATCCAGGATGTGAAACAGCTGCAGATCTACAAAAAGATTGCAGGTTACATAATATCTGGGTTACTTTCTGCCACCTACAGTACATGAAAATGCTACTACTACTCTACTGCTTTACCATTCATTTCCATGGAGTTATATATTTTTACACCCCAATGATATAACATAGTTGAATAATAGTTGAATAGTTGGATAATTCTCATTTTCATTCTACAGTAGAGATATTGTTGATGGCTGACCACTTTAAGTAGATTGTATGCTGGATAGTTTAATAATTAATATTAGAAATTATTCTTTTACTTTTTTAAAGAAATTTCTGTACAATTAATGTGTAGAAGAGAGTCTGAAGGTCGACAAAAGACTTATTTTATCTATCAGAAAATGATCCTAGTGCTTTGATGCATCTATGGGAAATACATTCTAGTTGAAAACTCACCAAAGATTTGGCACAAATATTAGTCCTAGAGGTCCCAGATTTAATTATTAATTTTATCTTTTATTTTAAAAACTTCTTTTAAAATTAAAACGCAGAAGAGAATCTTCTGATTCTGAAGGTCAACCAAAAACGCCAGCTCTTAGATCTTTAATTGAACTTTATTAACATAAAGACACTCTGAATTTGAAGGATATGCCAGAATTTACTGACATTTTTGGGAAACTTTATAAATATTATGAAGATTATATGATTAGGCCTATTGTTCAAAGTGAACTTGATGATTGTACTTTAAATGAACAATTTTACTCTGATTATTCAGCTAGCATTGTGCAACAACTACCTAGTTCATGCAAAAAGGGCGTACACTACACCAGGTTTACGCCAGCCTTACGCTTGTGTGTGAACATAGCCACACTGTGGAAGACAATACTGTTTACTCAAAACAACTCTGATGTCATAATTCTCATTTTATATCTACAGTACAGATTTTGTTGATTACTGACCATGTAAAGTATAAATTATATATGCTAGATTGTTTAATAATTATAGATTTAAAATATGTCATTTTATCTTTTATTTTGACAGAAATTGCTGTGAAAGTAATTCAGAAACGCAAAGGAGAATCCTGTGATTCTGAAGGACGACCATATAAAAAGTATGCTCTTAATTTGTTAAATGAACTTGATGAAAATAAAGACTCCCTAACTTTAAAGGATACACCAGAGTTTTTTGACAAGTTTGAGAAACTTATTATCTATTACAAACGTTATGGTTTAACATTAACCAAGGTTGAGAAAGGATCAATAGTATTTTACCTATCAGCAAATGATCCTAATGCTTTGATGAGCCTATGGGAAATACATTCTAGTGGAAAGCTCATCAAAGATTTGGCACAAATATTAGTCCCAGAGGAACATCAGCAAGAGTTCTTAGATGAATGGATGACATACATTGATGACAATGAATACAAAGCGGTGCTGAGTAAACTGAAAGAAAAAGGTGAGAAAATAATGAAATGAATTTAAGACAATTGGATAAAATGTTAAAATTATGTTTCTATTAGAATGAAAAGCTTTTCAAAGAAAAGGCTGTGATTACTATGCAAGTTCGTCCACTTACGCTGTCATAGGGGAAATTTTCCCGTCCCCCCGGCAAATCCTGGCACTACTGCTGCCATCTAGTGCCCACATACATTTTCCGTTTGCTAAAAATCTAACATTTAATAATGAAACCATATCTTGCAACATTGGGTTGGTTAAGGTATCTCGTAATATTAACAAAAACCAAATTTATAGACCTTATGCATATATACATGCATACCTGCCAACCTTTGAAAGTCAAAATGTGGTAGGCATTTCATAAATCTATGAATTTTAGTGTTTCTAAAGTCAACATCTTACGTATTTGAGTTTCATTACTGTTACGTTATATTATATTCTACAT